AAATTATTAGCATATCACTCCTTTTTATTAATTAATCGAAAATTCGTTTCAATTAGTTGATCTTCCCTCTTTCTTCTGCTTTAGATCTTCTAGAGCTTTGTCCTCTCTTTCCCCCATGGAGTTGAATATTTGCAACACGTTTGAGCACTATACAAATTTTGTGTCGTTACGCTGTCGATTTTGTTTCTTGCACTATACTTTGGTGTTAGAGAAGGAATGAGAGTGGAGAATTCATGCACTCATTCTGATTATGATGAATGACCCTGTGCCTGGAATAGTCGCCTCTATCTCCTTACTGTGGTATCTCCCATTTCCCCAACCGAGTCCATCCTTGATCACTTGTACACTGATCTCCTTTCTTTGGATTAGCTTCCTCCTTTTAATTCAACACTCTTTTATCTTCTGGTCAATCACCACCCTTGGTTTCCCCGGAGATTTGTTATTATTCCTTTATTTGGCTAATCAACCACTCTTTGGTTATAGTCATTTCTTTTCTTCCCCAACAAAGTTAATTTTTCCTTTTCAGTTAAATACCTTCTCTTGGTTCAATACTCTCTTTCTCTTGGTTCATCACAGTCTGGATGTTGACACCAACCTTTTGCTCTCCCCATAGAGTTTTGCTCTTATCCTTCTTCGGTTAATTGTTGTCTGCCAGTTAATGTACTGAGTCCAGTATGGATCTTATCTTTACTTCGATTCCTGTCCCTTTATTCTTCTGGTTTCAACACCATTCCCTTGTTTTATCCCCCGTGGAGTTATCTTTTCTTTTGAGTTCCTTAGTAGAGTTTCCCTTTGTTTTTCTTTCTTGGTTTTGACACCATTTCTTTTGTATTCCTAGTTAGGTCTTTCTTCTTCTTTTAGCTTTTGGTTTTGGCACCATCTCTATTTCCTTTTCTCTGTCCAAGTTCCTCGAACTATGTAAGCTCTGATTTTCTCATTGCACTATGAGGATACGTAGGCACAAGATTATGCAATCTCGGCGAGCCACCTTCTTCCACTTTTCTTTCTCTCTGGTCCGCCCAGATCCTTCTCTTTTTTCCTAGTTCCATGAACTACGGAGCTCTGACTTCCTCATTGCACTATGAGGGTATGTAGACACGAAGGCCCCAATCCTCTGCGAGCATCTTCTTTCTTGTTTTCTCTCTTTCTTTCTCTCTTTTTTTTAGCTAGAAGCCTTTAGATAGATAACCTATCCAAGTCTAGAAGCAAGCAAAATGGTTCTCGTCGAGTATGAAGGATGCGTGAGTTGCTAGTACCTTCCTCTCGCATAACCGACCCCCTTTCCCGTTTCTCTTCCCTTTGGGTTTTATCGATATTTTCCCTATCCTTAGGGACTAAATAAAGTTCAGTGGCGACTCTGTTGTATCTTTGGGTGTGTGATTCACTCAAGTATAGTCCTGCTAGCTTCAGTCCTTACGACCAAGAACCTTTCACCCTCTCAGATATCACTTGATGGGTAGGATTTCATTATGGCATTCAGGATTATTTGTGGTCGCCTAGAGGTCACTCCTACAATAGGTATTTTCTTTTCCTTTTATGACACTAAGACGACATCCAAAGTTGAGTGGGTCGCCCTGAGTGCCTTGTTAGGGAGAGTCCTCTTCACCCTTCACTAACTTCAAGAACTAGAAGGACATGTTCGTTAGGGCGACGAGGAGAGACACCACTTACATGGTAATATTAAAGGAAGATGATGATTATCACTTCCCTTTATACTAAACTAGTGACCCTGTGGTCATAAATGGCTTCGATCATGATTATTTGACTGCCACATAGAAGGAAGTCATTGAGATCTTGGAAGCATTTGTCATTATGAGTTGTTGGGAAATGGTGGAACTTGACCGTCGTGATGAGAACTTTGACGGCAAAATATATATGGGTGAACATTTCAACTTTGATGTTGACTTATCTAATGACCAGAAGATGGAAAATTAGATGAGGGTCAGACCTATGTCCAACATGGTGGAAACCTATCTACTAAGGGTTCTAATGCTAGAATTCCAAATGCATGAGACCCATTTAATGAAAGACAGATCTATCGTGGAGTTAAACACCAAATTGTACACAACAAATGATGTGTTTACCAAGGATGAAGAATTGTTGAAGTCTAGAACTGATAAGCGAGATGAAGTGGTCTTCTCTCTTAATGATCTAAAATATTATTAAAATATGAAATACGAGGACGCCTAGAAAATTAATTAGAAGTTCTCTAGTGTAGAAAGTGAAAAACATGTTTATTACAATATTAGAAGTTTCTAACGATGATTTTTTGCATGATCGTGATGCTTTAAAATGCACCAAACATGGTCAAAATATTACAGGTTTGCCGCAGCCTACTGCGTAGTGGTTTTAGGATGTGATACATCTATCTAGGCTGGAAGACTTGTGCAGAACTGGTTATGTTATGATTAGCCATGGTATTTTGTTCACGTTTGTAAATAGATGACACTCGGAGAAGTCATCTTTTCATCTTCCACAAAGTGATATGTCTACCACACTGGACGGTGTCTCATGCCTACTGCATCTTCCAATTAGGGAGAGACTGTTAGACCACGACAGGATTAACAAAGATGATGCACTGGAGATGATGGTAGACTATCTGGGATCTGACCCTAGGGAAACCCCGAATGAGTTAGAATCCACCAGAGGGGCTCATGTTAGGTTTCAATTCATATAGAGGTTGTATACATAACAATTTCATGATGCAAATCAGGCTGCTAGTGATGATGAACAGGTTGCGCATCATAAAGCATACGCTTTGAGATCATACTTGTTGTATTTTGTTGGCACGTCCATTTTTTTGGACAAGAGAGCCACTTATGTGGATGTGTTCTACCTGAGATACTTCGCTCGATTGGAGATGATCCATGAGTATAACTGGGGGGCACTTGTTTGTTCTACATGTACTCCAATTTAGTTTAAATATGTATGTGGAAGACCAAAAAGATAAAAGAAAGCATCAGATTATTGACGGTAATATTGCTGCATCTTTTAGCGTTTGTGTCTCATTTTCCTAACACTGAGGAGATGACACGTGCTTCTGCATTCATCCTGCTCAAAGGGAATCATCGTGATATGCATTCTTTTGACAACATAGCCTTTTACTCTAGATAGTTGACTTGCGTTTCATATATCATGTTTCCACACCTGTCTGAGCGCATCATGAGGCGGTTCGGCTACATGCAGTTTAATCCCAAAGACCCTTCCGAGTCTGCTCCTCCCGCTACGACATGTGTAGATATAAGTGTCATGTATGATGATTACCTTAATCATCTGGTATCGGATGAAACACAGAGTACCATAGCTCCTATCTACTAGAATGTTGCACACGACTACATCCAGTGGTATTTCATAGTGTCACATCCTTATATGACACTGGATGCTCTGTGATATCCACCAAGATCAGCACATTAAGAGATAGTAGAGGAGGAGCAGGTTAGGGCATATCATTTTGTTGATGTGTTGCCTAGATGTCGTTGTATCATAGAGCTTAGGCAAGTGGGTATAGACTAGGGATGACAATGAGCAAGGTATAAGCAAGGTACTATAGTACTCGTCCCCATTCTCGCGATTTAAAAAAAAAAATTCTCGTACCCAAGCTCATACCCGCACGGGCACCAATATTTGTATATGTACAAGTACCCTATAGGTGTCTAAGTACTCATATCAATACCCATTTACCCGCATATCTAATAAAAAATAATATATCAATTATAATTTATCGTGTCATTTTAAGATTTTAATAACATTAAAAAAATTCTAAGATGATAATGTTGAGTTAAGATATAACCAAACATTTATATTAAAATACTTACAGTTTTAATGATGATGAATTTAATAAAATTATAAAATAACATGTGTACATAGTAATAAAAATAAAAATATATAAATATATATTGTGCGGGTATCGGGCGAGGTGGGTATTAATGTATTCATACCCATACTCATATCCGCTTATTTTAGTGGATGATTACCTATACACATGCTCGCACCAATTTTACAGGTTGTTACCCTATCCGTTGTGGATTTTTTTGCTGGTACCCACTAAGGATGAGTCCAATTATCATCTCTAGTGACTAGTATAGACTGAGGACTCTTTTCATATAGCTCAAAGGTGTGAGACGTTCTAAAATGCCAGCACGGGGGAGACATAAGGGGCAATAAAGTACATAAGGCAGTGTGTAGGAACAGAGGGACCCGAGTCCGTCATACGTAGTAGTATGTAGTATTTATATTAGGAGCACTATTACATGGAGTGGTACAAGAGATGCATTTTCAAGCTAAATTTTGAAAAAAAAAATCTAAGGTGTAACTCAATTTGGTGTATTTCTATAAGACTCAATACATTAAAAAAAAATGCATTTTCAAAATCAAAAGAACATTTTTCTGATTTTCATAAAATACCTTTTCACCTATTAGTTGGGATCTTTTCCACCCATTAGTTGGGATAAGCAATTCTCTTACACCAAATCACTACTTTTCTAAGGTAGGCCACCTAGCATATTGTATATGTGAAGAGTGCAGAAAATTGGTCCCTTTGTTATGACCCACAAGCCTTTATAGTATCAAAAATTGTTAACTAGGTGAAAAAGAAAACACAATGAAAAAGTTTGGTGTAAAAGAATGCGTCTCAAACCAGCCTGTCCTTGAGTCCCCCTCCTCCCACTATCACTCTCGCATGCATTATATTGTCTCCTCAATTAATTTAAATCAAAAGTCCACCTATTATTTATACACATTCATGAAATACAATACAATTCAATTCAATGTTCTCATGCTTAGTAAACAACCATATGATTACATTTCAAGTGCATCAATACAACATGCATTGAGATTGACAAGTCTTCAAACTTTAACCAAATTCTTCCTATTGGTTTGCAACAACTAGAGGAACTGAAAGTGAGGTTTGCAAGTTATGTCCCCACTCTATTATTACACATTCTGTAAAGTAAAGTAGTACTTGTACCAAACACAAACAAACTAGAGAAATTTATGTTTAATTAGTCTCTCCTAGAAGAAGAAGAAAAAGATGATGATACTGCTGTTGTAGATTGCCATAGCTGTGCACTTTTCACCTTCGATACACTTGTCAGTACACCTAATGGCGTCACGTCTCCAATTATTGTTACTTTCTTTTTCTCCATTTCTATGCTGAATGATCTCACTCCTATTCAATAGTATTATACTAGTATTAGTATTAGCCCAAAATAATTTTCTTTTACCATACTAAACTAGGTCTTAATAACAATAAACTCACCTTGCATTTTTGAGATATGTTTTCTGACTTTTCCTTCGCAAGCTTTGCAGTGCAATGACACCCTCAGAACCACAACCTACACGTTTCAAATAGATCAAACATTTTCATATAAAAGACACGACACGAACACGAACACTGAACATGATATCGATACATATACCAGTACTTTTAATAAATATATATTGTAACACTAACAACCTAAATTTTGAAGGAAAAATGGAAAACAAGAACCTGGTCCTTCGAGGAGATAGCTGAAGAAGTGGAACTAAGAGTAAGAGCATGAGAATCGTTTCTTTTCGATGTTTTAATATCATTGGACATGGCTTTAACATTATGCTGAGGAACTAGTATCTTGTTGGATTCAGATACCCAATCGATGAACGGCGCGTCACCGAGAAGATATCTTGTTGAAGACGAATCGGCGGAGCTTTTTCTACGTGTGAGATCAGTGCTGTTTTGTTTATCTGCTGAAGAGGAACTCTTTCTATGTTTTTCAAAGAAAGGTATAGGATTTATAGGTAGTTGAGATAAACAAGGAACATGATCGTAGGTTTTGGTGCTTCTGGTTCGACGTAGCATAGAAGGTTGATCTATGGTAGTATGTATGATTGCTGTTGAAGCGGGGGAAGAACAGAACATGTCTATTCCTTTCATGGTTGTTAATTTATTTGGTTTTGAGAGAATGAATTATTGTTGGAAAGAATGGCTTTTTAAGTAGTAGGTTGAAGGTAGTGAAGGCAAAGGGAGTGTAATCGAGGGATCTTTGTAATGAAGGAGAGGGAAAGAGAGATAATGGAGGTCCCACTCTATGATGCATTGGAAGATTTGACATTAATATCTTCAAACTTGTGTTTATCTTTTACTCTTAAACAAGTAACAACAAATGCTTAGCACGAGTCTCATTTGGATTCACCGTATTTCACCTTTTTAATTCTCAGTTATCAAATTTATTTTGTAGTTTATAAATATTCACATAGTTTAAATTGTAATCAACTTTTAAGCATTCATCATTAATTATAATAAATCGAATAATCATTTTTCCAACATTCAGTTATATAAAAATCAATAAAAAAAGGATTGTTAAACACGGACATTAAAAATTATCAGTTTACAACTAGTATCTCAAATTAATAAACTTGACTAAGACACAGACTAATAAAGTAATTACCAAAAGGCAATTTAATCCATATAAATAGCAACTTTTCCATCACGTTCCAATCTTTCAAGTCTTTCAATTTTCCATTCTTTGAGGTCGATACATTATTCATCTATTTGCATATTCCTTTAACTTAGCTACGAACATTTCCTGCATCCAAACATGATAAAAACATGTGACAAAACAATAAAAAATATGATCAAGCAATGTGTAGAAATTATGAACTAAAACATTGTTAAAATTCTGCATAAACATGATCAAACATTCAGCAATGACATAGTAAAATTCTGCACCAAAACATCGTTTAAAATTATGCATAAATATCATTGAAAAGTTCAGCATTGTTATCAATAACATATGATCATATAACCAAATGATAACATACGACATAGCCAAAAAATTCAACAACATTAATCGCGATCATTCATTTAATTTCATGCATAAACCAAAGAAAATATATCTTTCTTTGCATATTTTATCAAGCAACCAAACAAATATAGAGTAAAATATGGATATGAAATTTAGAACACAAAAGATAAGTTAAAAAAGATTACCAACTAACATATAACTTGGAAAACCTCCTTGTACACAATATTTGTAGTAGTCGAACACGGTACATTCTCCTTGTCATGTATTAAGATTTTGAGGCCACTTTTCGTCTTAACACTTGAAGTTGCAACATACAATTTCCTATGACTAAAAACAGGTGTAGGCAAGTACAAACCGACATTACCAAGTGATTGACCTTGAGATTTGTTAATTGTCATTGCCTAAGAGACAATTATAGAAAATTGTCTTCTAATTAACTTGAGTGACCACGGTGACTCAGAAGGTGACATAGACATTCGGAGAATGTAAAAAAGGTTACCTATGTTCTTTCCAAACATGATTTATGCCTCGATGACATGATTTGCGAACCTTGTAACGATTAGTCTTGTTCCATTGCTTAATCCATCAACTTGGTCTAAATTTCTGATTAGCATAATAGAGGTACCAACCTTCAATTTGATCCTATGATTTATAAGCTATGATGTTCTTAATTTATTGATAGATTCAGGAGTCAGCACTTCATACGATTCACTATAACTTGCATATGTTTTATCAATCGAATTGAAACTCGGATACTCTTTCTCTACTCCTAAAAAACAGTTTAAAATCAAAACAAAAGAATTGATTCAATATGTTTTTGTATGTATAAATAGATTAAATTTAACGAATCTTTACCCTGTATCGAGTCTAATACATAATGATTGATTTTGTCCACAACTTCAATTGTTGAAGCAAGAATAGCTTTTCCTTGTAAGAAGTCAACATCATTGAATTTTTCCCACAAATTAGGATATGTACTATCAACAATAGCCTTTATAGGATCATCAAAATTTGATATTAACAGCTCTTGAGGAATTTCTATATCAACCAACCCATCATTTGGTTCACAAATCTTACCATCCCCCACATTTAGAATCCATTTTAAGAATTATGTTGTTTCATCGGAACTTGTGCTGTCTTTTCCTTGTTGAAGTCTCATATTTCTTGTTAGTGTTAAAACTTGACAATAGTCTCATACATAAGATGAGCTAATTAATGCATGGATAATATCAGAACGCCCTGCTTTTGGAACAACTAGAAGAATCTGTCTGAAAACTCCTCCGAAAACAATAACTTTCCCATAAAAAATTGTATTCGCCACTCCTTTTTTGCTCATTACATCTTTAAGGGTTCTACCCAATCCTTCAAAGCAGTCCTTATGAGACATGGGTGATTCATCCCATATTATCACATCTGTTGCTTCAAATAATTGTGAATGCTCGGTGTCTTTGTCAATGTTTCAAGTAGGATTGTCAAGTGTTGGAACGAGTATTTTGAACTTTGAGTGTGTTGTTCTTCCACCTGACAATAATAACAAAGTTATTCCACTCGAAGCAACGGTAAGAACAATTTTTTTCTGCGAGCGAAGGGCACTTGATAGTGTTCTCCACATGAAAGTTTTACCAGTCCCTCCATAACCATGTAAAAAGAACACTCATCCTCTCTGTTTATTGACAACTTCCGTGATCTTATCAAAGATTGCATGTTGTCGTCTATAATTTATAAATTATAAATTATAAATTTAAACAAAAAAGGTAATTTCACAAATTAAAAAAAAAATCAAATCAGTAACCTATAAGGGCGTGTAAAAGCTTGTGGAAATTGTGTCTTTCGATATCGGCATTGTAATCGCGTTCATCATAAATCAGTCTGTTGCCAACGTGCTTCGTGACATATGAATCTGGATAAGGTATACCTTTAAACTCATGCAAACTTCTTCCATTTGATTGCAATAGATTCTCAATCTCAATGATTGTCAAATTCTTTAACTCAGTCACACTTAACTGCAGATCTGTGAAAAATATACCAATAAGGGCATTATATAATGATTGCAGTTTAATTAACCTTTACCTCCACTTTATAAAAGCTTATCCACCATTGTATTACAAAATTAACTCGGTGACAGTTTTGTATGTGTGATTCGGCTGCAGTTTATGACTACAAAAATACAAAATTGAATCGACAGTAGTTTATTAATCGAATGCAGTTGAATTGATACGATACGGCTGCAGTTTATGAATACATACATACAAAATTGAATTTGCTGCAGTTTATCATTCGACTGCATACAAATTTTAAAAAATTGTATATGAACACAGTCAGTTATTACAAAACAGTATAAAATTCCTTATATCAAACAATTCCTTACTGCTACATATAGCTTGCATTACATGTTTCTCTGTGTCAGTATAGCTTGCATCAGTATATATCAAGTTATATCAAACAATTCCTTACTGATACATATAGCTTGCATCAGTATACAAGACATCTCAAACAACCAATATATGAAACATGCTAATGCAGAATATACATTCCAAATATATTGTCGTCGTCCATATATACTAGAAGTTAATTGAGTATAAAACATATATATTGCATTATGTTGTTTATATATAAATCTTTAAGTCATTATATCTATAATGAGTTCATTTTGTCATAAAAATTCAATAACAACATATATATGGTGTCAAATAAGAATTATATTAATGTACTTGAGAAAAATTTATAATTGTCATTTACCTCTTATATTTGTCTCCTGTCTTATATTTGTCTCTTGTCTTTGTTGATATAGAATATCGTCAGATAACGTTCTCCAAGTTTTTTCTCAAACATGTCGCCGTCTGTTGATTGTACCAAATAATAGCATAATACCAAATAAATTTCTTAGAAAATGACCGGAACCCCAATCCTTTGCCTCATTAATGGTTGCAACGTATTCCTTGCCGTCATTAAGAAATCTCATTTTGAAGCATGCATCCCTAAAACTATCCCGAACCTTTCCACTGACGTATTTGGTATCCTCATAGCAAGTTGGCCCCTTGATGACCGTTAGCATCATTCTCAACTAATACAACTCACATGTACTTGGAGAAACCCAATTTAATCTACCAATGGTATTGCCTCTTTTACGCGGTCTCCATTGCTGGTATCTTTTATCATAAACAAACTTGGAAATAAACTGAGAGTATGTTAAATTTCGTGCCTCTAAATATGTTTTGTTTGCTTCCATCCATGAACTAAACATTGAATCTTTCACAGTTGGTTTGTCAAGCACTTCATCTATCATCTTAAAATCCGTATAGTAAACAGAGTTGTCACCTTTAAGATAGAGGTACAAACATTCAACTGCAGGTGACCTACCATGAATAGGAAATAAAAAAAAGCCTCCAACATTCCTCACTTGGTGATACATATCTACAATCAAAATATTTCTTGATTTCATCAACATTTCTAATAACCGAATATCAGTCAGAGTTGGTTTGGACAACATCAGCGGTAATTCTATCATACCCATTATTAATATACTCGAATAAATACCTAACTGAAGTACTCTGATTACGCCACTCCATATTGATGTGAGCTTGAAATTTATTCAACAAAAATGGATTGTAGGGAACTACATATCTGTTATCAAGAACTATGTTGTTTTTCATCATTGTATTACCAGTTTCTCTTCTTCTGTAAACAGGATATCCATCCTGATCAACAATGGTTTAAGGCTGAATTTTTTTGAGGAAGTATTTTGAGCACTTTTCGTTTTTCATGCAAGGTGAAGACATGTTTGCCAAACCACATGGGCCATGAATCATATGTGTCTTGACCAAGTGATATAGTTGCCTATCATCTTCTTTGGTTGGTATCTTTGCCAAAATTATCTTGTTTATATCATCTGGAATTGGATACTTGCTTGACATATGCAAGAACAGCAAAATATGGGCATGTAGTAAACCCCACTTTTGGAATTCAATTGTGTATATATTTGCAAAATAAGTGAGTTTATTACAAAACATTGCATAATAAAGATTTAAAACGATTGATGAAACAAAATGACAACTTCAATGAAAAGAAAATAATTTGACTTACATGCAAGCACTCTCCCTAAGACATGATTCTTTGTTAAATTGTCCAA